TATATATATACCAAAGCGTGTAACCAGTACTTAAGTTCATTCCCACAGTCTTATAATTCTAATTTTATATTAAGAAGGTGAGATAATTTCTAAATGGATCAGCTATTTTTCTAAACTAACACGAAATTGCATTACATGGAGAGGAAAGCCATGAAAATTGCTGTTGCAGTGGTGTACTAATAGACTTATATGTGCCCCCTGCAAGATTTATAAATGCGCCCTATCCTAGACTAAGCACAATTTTTAAAAAAATTACAATATCGAATAGAAACACTGTGCAAGCTCCTTTTAATAAAAAGCATTTTATTTTAATTTATACTAATTGATATATTTTGATTTAAATTATTTTAATAATTATTTATAAGGAATTAATAATTGCGATGGGAAAGCGGAATTTAGAGTGCACTATCTTTTAGAATGAAACTCTGCGTGCCAAGCATTTATACATGTTGACGGTAATTATGATAGATGATTTTAATATAAAAATCAGTGCTTCAGACAAAATTGTTTTTATAAGTCAATTTAGTAATATATCTGCATGAAATAAAACTCGTTTAAATAATTATAATTTTTTTATGATCTTAATTCTTTTTATTCTATTTATTTATCAGTCAATTTAGTTAAAATTCATTAAATTAAAGTTAAATTAATTAGTTGAAATTCTTTCAAAACTGAGGAATACCAAACTGAAAATTTTCAAAATAAAAATGTTCACTTTTTTTTAAAATCGAAAATAGATGCATCTAAAAAAACAAAGATTTGAAAAATATGATGGTTTTTTTATAACGTCATTGTACGAGCAAAAGTCTATTTTAAAATAAATTAACTGTAATATTCTTGAATGAAAGTAAAAAATAAAAAAATAGATAAATATTTTATTGAGCAAGATGAATGCAAATTAAATATTTTAATTAAAGAAATTGTATGAGGTCAAAAATAATTTAAAATAAAATAAAAACGCATTATACCTCAAAGTATGATTCAGCATTCAAATGGGATTCAATTCAGTATATTTTTAACTTTACTAAATTTATATTTAGTGAAATATAATAGATTTTATAATTGTTAAATACTAAAACGGTATTTTCAGCAACTTTTTAAGCTGCAAAAAATTAGAGACAAAGTTCAAGAACAGTAAAGAGTCTAAATACCCCCTTTCGCATTTCGCATTTTGTAGCAATATTGTATTAAAAATATCAAGTTCTTTTTCATTTAAAAAAAAAAAAAAAGATTCAAAAATAACATGGACTAATGATTAAGTCAGCACAGAAAAGCACGTCAAATATGATAATTAAAATGCCTTATTCGAAAATAGCAAGTCGTTATAATACCGGATTAAAAATGCCAGGATTATTGAAAACCTGCATAAAAAATTAACAATATCTGTTGAAAAAACGATATAAAAATCTCTTAGATTTGCGATGAAATCGGCTTAAACAAAGCACACATTTAGATACACGATTCGAGTGTTCAGTTAATAGTCCGGACGTTATGACATCTTTCTTATTTCACCCCACTGCGCAATTTATGTTCATTGCGTCGGACTACTAAATTGGTTACTACATTTATCATAAGGTGTTGTGGATACACGGCTTTTCCTCATTTCACGTCTGAGACGTTCGTCATGACTGTCTCAGTGAAAGATTGCGCTTTGCTTGTAAAGCTTTTTACAGGAGCAATGACTGTGCACCAGTAGCTCCGCAAAAGTTCCGGACACTCAAGAGTATGAAAAAAGGCGTTGGTCAGATAACTGTCGTGGGTTTGAAGAAAGTGATTCAAAAAATTCAAAAAGACAGGTTCTGATGTGCATTTTGGTAGAAGGCGGAAAATAATTTTTTCAATTGATTCGAAGTCAGTGAAGAAATGGCCACAGCAGTGCGGAATGAGTCGAGTGATGTTGTGCAACTGTGTAAAGCACGAGAAATTGACTGAACATTGTACATATATGTGAGCAGAGTGCATGTAATTCTTCGCAATAGTCTACATTGCTATCCAAACAAAATTACTTACGTGCAGGAATTGATTCTTGCTGACACCACCAGCAAGATATTAACTTGCTTTAAAATTTCTAGCTCGCATGGGAGAAGACCATGAATGGCGATGGAATATTTTGTGGGCAACAAACAGAAGCCAATTTACATTTGAAAGAATATGCTGACACAGAATTGCTGAATATCGGCAACAGAAAATCCACTCTCAAATCAACTAGTACTGTAGTTATTCTGTAAAGGTCCACTGTGTCATTTTTATCGGTGGTTCTTTTTCAGAGCTTTTTGAAACTTATATTTTATTTATAATCACCCTGTACATAACTCTTACTCTCTGTTATAACATAACTAAATGCAAAGAGTAATATGAATTTATGCATTAGAGTTATGATAACTCTAATGCATAAATTCATATTACTCTTTACATTTGTCCTTTCATAGTTGATGAAGCATCAAGGATTGAAAGAAATAGTCTTCATACATAATCTCTTATACATGAGAAGGGGCAGGGTAACAGTGCTGCACTATTGGCGACAACTGTGAATATTTTAAAATTTTACTTACCCAATCCTTCAAAGGCTCCACTTGCTATTCCTTGGACTGTTGCTTCTGTGCCTTCTGGTGCTATTGATTTGGCATAAGATGTCATGGAAGAATAAAAACTTCCAAATGCTGGTCCTTGCAAAAGTTCAATTGGAAGTCCCAAGTAAGGATTTTTTATAAAGGAGTAAAGTATAAACCTTGCAGCATTTGCTACAAATGATACAGTAAAAGTATTTAAATGTCCAACTTTGGAAATGAACCAACCAGCAAAGAAGAAAAACGGCAATTCTCCTAAAAAGCACTGAGTTAAAGAAATACACCCTAATAATAGCTGGTCAGCATTCAATAGCCTCAAATACCAAAATATATATGATCTGGACAAGCCAATGAATACGCCGACAAAATAAACTTCAGCGATAAATATAAAAATTTTTGGTTTAATAATTAATCGAGATACATCATGGAAAATATTTTTCGTCACTTTTATTTCTTTTATATCAAACCGTTTAATGACAATTACATCAATTAAATAGAGAACTACTAGCATATAAAATCCTGGAGAAAAATTATATTTTGAATTTTTTGAAGAGAATAATTGATTTAAAAGCCCACTCAGAAGGGCAAATGTTCCCCAACCTATAGTACCCCATAAGCGTTGTTTTCCATATAAAAAGGGCTTTGATTCCAAAAGAGAAAAACAGGCTGCATCGGATAGCGAAGTTATGGAACCATACGAAATATATAGTAAAGCTGTAAAAATGCTCCACATAATTATTTGCAAATTATTTTCTAAAAAAGAAGTATTCGATTTTAAAACGCCTGAACAATCCCCTGCAGTTAAATTAGAAGTACTAATTGCACAGTCTTTAAGAAGATAACAGTTCGATAAATTAGTGAATTCATTATACTTAGTTAAAACGACTTCGTTGTTTGAACACTGAAAATAACAATTTTCTGTACAACTTGACTTCTCGCACAGACTTAAATTGCTAGCGTAAGTTCTGTTTTCAAAACAAAGAAAATCTGAATTCAAGCTTTTGACATTAGTTGGTTGTGGAATTGCATTTAAGCCCATTGTTGTTACCATAGCAGAAAATAAAAGGATTGCAACACAGATTTTGAGGTTTTGAAAGTAATCCACGCAGCTTCCAATCAAAGGACGAGAAAAAAACGTCACACAGCTTAAGATGGCAAACACGTATCCTACAACAACGGCTTGAATTTCTAAGTTCATTGCATAAACAGCAAGAAATGGCATCACCCCCGCCATACCTAAAATGAAAGAGGTTCAACATTAAATTCTAACATTAATAGTGCTCAGCACACTCATAATTACAACTGTACTTTAAAAATACCAAAATCAGTCTAGAAGTTTCAAGCATTTTGACTTAACAGACCGAGCAATTTTTCTTCCAACTCGTCTTCATCTGACCTTCCCGATCATTCGCTTTAGTGTGGAGTCATCGGTCATTTACTGAGTATATAAAATGCTTTGTAATCACGTAACGCATATTTTTAGCATCATCCCTTAGCGTATATTTTAAGATTTCTTGCTAAAATTGAAAAAAAAAATACAAACCTTAAGATCACAAATTAATAGTACTGCATCAATTCGTCACGAGCAGTTCGTAGTGGCAAAAATTCGCCTTCCACAATTTGTCGCAGGGACAATTTGTCGCTAGCATAATTCGTATCAGCTACAATTTGTCGTAAGCACAATTTTTTGCACTTTCGATGAAATACATATATTTACGGGGAAAAAATAATTCGAAAAAGTTTGTAATTTGCTTATTGTTGGTTACAAGGGGACGGAGTGACAATTCGTAGTGAGCACAATTCGTCGCAGTTTAACTTCGTCGTAAGACACTAGAAAACTAGAATCCACTTATTTTAATTGTTTGTAAATGCAAAAAATTTATCAATAAAGGTTGGAAACTTGGAAAGTTTCATAAGTGAAAGAGAAAATGGGGAAAAAATTTCTTTAATGATGGTTCAAGATTTTAGATTACCTAACGAAAACACACAAAAAAAAAAACTCCTAAAGAATAAGATTTTATTAAATAAATTAAAAGGTAAATATAGTTTAATGCAAAACAAAGATACATTTTTCTAAAAATAATAATTTGTAAAATTAGATGAAAGACCAATAATGAAAAGTAAAAGTGAAAGTCTCACCTGCGTTGATAACGAAATAATGAAATTTTACAGGAAGTAATTTCTGATTAATTTGGCAGTTTTTCATGACTTCAGATTTCACAGATCAGACAAATCTCGGAGAGGTATATTTCAGTACTTTAAAATAAAACGAGCAGCAATAAATTATTTTAATAATTGACTATGGATAAATAAACTAATCATTAAAACTTAATTATTAAATACAGGGTAATTATAAAATAACTTAAAACAGAATTACAAAATTTTCAAATGGCAACACTTTTTTCAAAACCAAAATGAGATCCTCGCTGTAAAAAAAACTTAAAATACAATTGTAACGATATTTATAGCATAGAAAAAAGCAGTGCTTGGTAGAGATGAATAAAAAAGAATGTTATAAATTTTCAACGTATTCAGTTCGTTCAACTTAACGCGTTTTTATTTAAATGGAAAAGTAGAAGAAAATACATATATTTTTTTGCTGCATTTTGCTCAATTCATTTATGTCTAACGTCCTCATTAATCGTATTAAATATATTCAGAGGAGCGGCGAACTTATATTTTTAGGAGGGGGGGAAATTCCCATTTTGCAGAAAGAAATTTCTAATTTAACTGAATCATTAATAATTAAAAAAAAACAACATGAATAAAGCACAAATGAAAGTGCATAAATTGACATACGATAGTTTCAATTCGATGAACAAGAACCTTTCTTAGTGTCATAACGTCAAAATGTCAGCGCCGTAACATCATTTTTGACGTCATGACACTGAGGAAGTTTTTTGTTTATAGAACTGAAACTAGTATCACAGGGGTAGCGTGGGGGGGGGGCAAGGAGGGTCAATATTTAGCAAAAATGCAAATTTTTCTTGAATTGATTGCATAACTAAAAAAAATTTTTATTTGCTGAACAAAAATTAAGATTATTACATCCACTAATCCATTTTTTCTATTCAAATCTTCTCCCACTTATTATTGTTATTATATTTTATTACTTAGTTTGGATTCATCAAAGATAAAAGATCACTTTTAAAAAGTGAAAGAGATTTTAAATTATTGACTTAATAATCGTCTGCTTCAGGAAGCTTTTTAGGTATTTTCGCTTTATGTATTAACTCGTGGGTGCTGGTATTTAAGACTAGTAAGGAAAAAAAAGTCCCTTTAAAAATGTGCCCTTATCCATTAAAAAAAGTTGCATTTCTCTTAAGGAAAGTGAAGTATTTTTATTTTATGATTACAGAAAAATTATTTACTATTGTAATAACTACATTATTTTCTAGCAATAAAACATAATTTTATTTTACAAATTTATAGCTTTTTTTAACTAGTCATTTTTACAGGTATACTTGCTAATTTTATCTGGATAAAAAATTAGTTAATAGATATTCTGAGTTCAGAAGTTGAATCAAAACAAAACAGAGCATAAATAATAATAATAATTGCGGAATGAATAACCCTGCAGATGTAAGGGAAGAAATAAATTCCTTCCTTCAAATTAAATATATATCGCCATGAAAAAATAATTTATTTATATTAAATTCTTTAAAAGTTAATGCTTTTATGAGAGAAACTTAATACAATACATACTCATACAATCATTTATACTCAAGGGAGAAATAAAAGGGTATAATAAACTATGAATATTTATAATTCAATCTAAACTGTCACTAATCTAGCCAAATATTTGAATTAAAATAAGGAATAGCGTGCAAAATTTCTCTGTGTTCCTAGTAATTTCAATTTCGACTTTTTTTTGTGATAAGGGTTTTGTTTATTCGACATTTGTTTAATTCAGTTGTTTATATTTCGCCTTTTAAAGTTCATATTTATTAATGTAGTGTATACCTTAAGTATGAAAGTATAAAATTAAAATTACATTTGGGAAATACTGTTATGAGCACGGCTTGAAAATTAAAGTGCCCGACGTGCTCGTGACATGAATTTTTTACCCTAATACCCGGCCAAGCAAGTAAATATTCAGCGATGTCGTAAAATACCAATTAATCTCCCCTCAAATTTTGAAGAAATCCTTGGAAGCTGCGAATCAATGGCACAGAAGGAAATTAAAAAATGAAATCGATTATGTTTCATAAGATCTAAATATTATTGAATTTAATTATCTAAATATGAATTCATTAAACAAAGTTTTAAATTTTTTTATTTCTCTAGTAAAGCTTAGTTTTATTTTTAAAGAAAGTTTATAGTTATTTAATTCAAATGCACACATTCAGTGCCTTCTGTTAAAGTATTTGACAATTTTTTAAATAATTTGATTTGTATGCGCATAAATATCAGTTGTCATAACTGTCTAAAAATCAGAGTAAATAATTGCCTTCTTTTTTATATTTATTTCTAAATAAATACTTTCGTATTAAAATGCCTTTCTTGTTGATTCAGAATATTTTATATTTGAATTATCAATTGTTTTATATTTGAAATTACAACGAAATATGACTTCGGAAATCGTATTAAAGAAGGATTCACTTTATTTTTTCAGAAAAAATTTATTCTTTCCTATTTCAAGGGAATTGAGAAGAAATTGTGCTTTTTTGTCATGATATTAAAAGTTTGCAAAATGCTCTCGAGGGGGTAAATTCTTGGTACAATTTAGTAATTTTAATGCAAATACAATTTTATACATTTTGGTTTCAGTGAAAATAATTGTGTTCACCTATTGACTATAGTTTCAGTTGTTACTTTCATTTAAGTTATAAGATATTTTTAGTAGTTTTTTCTGCCAACTTTGCAGTAAGAAATATTTTTGTTCTAAAAGTTCAATAAATATACATTTAGAATATTTTCATTTGATTTTGTAAATATTTTTTTAAGGGATGTCAGTTCTCTCGAGTGAGTATTATAAATGTGATAATATAATTAGTATATTACCTTAATTAAAAAGAAAAAATAGATTAATTAATTATAATATTTTCTGATTCATTTCGTAATTCATAATAAAATTTTAATAAGAAATGGAAAATTTTCAAACTTTATTTTGTGTTTTAAGTTTTTTTTATATATAAATTAATCATTTTGAAATAAAAATGTCATGGAAATCAAGCGACGACCTATTAATATCAGCTTTTTTTAAAAAAATATAGAAGATTTTAAAAACAAATTCTTCCCCCCCCCCCNGGCCCCCCCCCCCCCAAAAAAAAGAGAATTTTTTTTCCCCGTCAGGCTAGTCTTATGTAGTTTGTCAATTAATGCTCTTTCATGCATTATTCCTTTTTTTCTGTTTTTTGTCTACATAGTACAAAGTATTACCCTTTTTTTCACTGGATTAATAAATAGGTAATTCATTAGTTTTCATGAAAAATAATTTTGTTGCAAATAATTTCACAATATGTTAATTTTTCCACCATTATATATTATCGATTTTACTACTTTATGCTTAATTATTCCAATCAATGAGTTGCAATTAGTCAATAGGTAAAACATTGAAGTATTGTGAAGAACTGGGTTCGATTCCCAACGGCGGTCTGAAGCTAACCCACTTCAGATCGGCGAGTACCAGTTTGTCTTGGAAGTAAAGGATGCGTGTGCGCAATGCTCACCATATTGACACAATTAGCAATTGCTACATTATAAAGCTTTACCCTTCAAGAGCAATGAGCTGTTGAGAAAATGCTTTACTTTTATTTTAGTCTATGAAAGAATAAAAATAAAATGAATCATTTGATAAATAAATATTAAAAGAAAGAAAATAATTTGCAGCTAACATAAAGGTATAATTTTTTACTATCCGACGAATCGAATAGAAAATAATTTAGTAATCGGTAAATCTGAATAGTCGGATCGAATATTGGATAGATATAAAATAGGTATTCTGATAATCGTATTTTAAAATGACAATATAGTTTAAGTGGTTAAAAATTTTGAAAAAAATTAACTATAAATTTAAAATTTGCTGAATTAATTTATGGATTGAATTTAAAAAATGGATGATTATAAAGTAATAGGTACAGATTTAGAAAACGTGACTTTATGCCTAATTTTTCCAGTTAATAAATAAAATAAAATCAGTATATAAACGGGGGAAATACAAATTATTACTTTAAAATTACTATTGATAATTCGCAGATTGAATAAATCTGTGTCTTTTTTTCTCATAGCATGGAAGGGATTTTGAAAAAGCCTCCCACCAATTTAATAGATACATAATTTTTATTGGCTATCTTGTGAAATTAAAATAAAGCATTAAGAACTGATTTCTATTGGTTCTTAATTTTTTCTTTTAATTTCACAAGAGGTTTCGCTTCACGCTAGCTAAACTCCGAAAATTCTGACTTAGTTCCTCTCGTGCAACTTCACACTCTTTTCCTCAAGATTTGTTCAGTACCCCAAATTTCAAGCCTTGATATTTTTTTATAGTTTATTTTAATTACATTAAAGGCTAAACCATTTTCTATTTAATTCTCTCTAATCCTAGAAGCTTTACAATAAATTGCTCCAAATAAATTAGAAATTTAAACAAAGTAAGCGACGCATAATTGCAAAAGATGCTTTTGTGTTTTCTAAGGGAAATGTGACAAAACGAGTTTTCGTTAATATGCCGAATGGCCAAGCATATTTTACCGAATAGTGAAAATGTTTGGGAAGTCACGGCGACTTCCCATTCCGGCGCCCCTGAAAACGTCACTCCAACTATGCCGCTTAAATAACGGCAGTTTTTTTACTGTGTCATTTTAAAAATCGTAACCGCAACCGTGTGAGTTCAATAATCTGTTTGCTCAATTTAGTCTTAACTCTCTTTTCTTGATGAGGTCTTTTCTGAACTCCTAATGGAGGATTCAGCTCGTTCACTTTCAGTCCACTGCAGACGCAGTGGCAAAGCCAAATTCTTTCTATAAAATTCTACCGAGGGTGTGCGGTATTGGTCCTCGTTAAACTGTTCTACCGTAAAGTGCTCGACTTCGCGCGCAGGTCGTCGGGCTACCGAAGCGGGGGTGCCATCCCCTCCGCAGAGGATCAAAATTGTGATGGCATGTCTTCGGATCATCCTCCGGGATGTTTCCCAGACCGTCGCCAATAGCCCATTGTGCAGCTCTAGTGCGACGTAAATTAACAACAACAACAACAACTATAAAATTCTAATATTCTTTTTAATTTTTTATACCCTAAGCCTTCTTCATCACTGG